GGTACTTAAGATGAGAAGAATTATATGTTGCCAAGCAAGATTTTTCAAAATGATTTGATAGGACAATTTTTTCCGAGCGTGTCATGGTGATAAATGTTAGCGTCGGCAATAGAAATTATGGGATAATTGTGTGAAGCCACTGCGAGTGCACATGCATATTCATTGAGGGTTAAACCTTTATGCCCTGGTATCCACACCAAGCGAATGAGTCGTAAATATCTTGGGGCAGGGCGTAAAATACTTTAAAGGCGTTTGACATATTAGGCGCAGCTAATGAACTACACACAGACAGGCAGTCTGAAAGAATAATAGCATCTGTTATTGATTGAGGTAATTTTCGTATTGCTAAGAAAATTTCAGTAATTCCGCTTGATAAGTAGGTGTAATATCAGGTAGACAAATTGAAAAGGACCAATCCAGCACTGAAGATGCTCTTCCGACTCTTGCCTTTTCTTCGCAAACTGAAACGTCAGTTGCTATTACACTCTTTATGTCTAATCTTGACACGTGGTCTTTCAAAATGGCATTTAGGTATCTACTGGAAAGATTTTTGCAATTATTACGAAATATGATGTCACATTATATTTTCATTGTTTGAATGAGCGTTCTTAGTACCTGTACCTTACGAAGCGTAACTTATAATGTTTACAAGAGCTTCTGTACGACGATGACTTGTGGATGCTGTAATCTAGACCACTGTTGGTCAAAAAAGGATGTCAGCTCATTAATGAAAAAAACATTGCAACCGCCTCTGTAGGGATGCATATATTTTTAGGAAGGTACGAACTGCTAGTATTTGGAACCTAGCAGGAAGAAAAGGCAGGCGCGCTTCCTTATATAAAATATTATTGCGGCAAATTTAGGGATCCCCAGACCTATTTCTAACGCTTCGCAATCTTGTAGTACTAGTGGTATAATTTTGTAGGTGGGTGCTCCAGAAAACAAGACACAGCCAAACTCCAATATTGGGTGAATATAAATACAATATATTATGACCAGCACATCACGACGTAAACAAGAACGCTTACTGCTGAGTCTGCGAAGCATCCTAAGCGCCCGTGCTCCTTTAGCTGCCATATTTTCCCTATGCGGACTCCAATTTAGGTTTTCAGTATAAGTCACTCCTAAGTATTTAATAAATTTCACCTGCGGGACAAATTCCTGTGTGTACAGAAATCTGCCCTGGAATACTTATCGCAAAAACTACGATTGCGCTTTTCCTGATGTTCATTGATAGATTAATGTCGTCTAACCATGTGTCTAGAGCGTTCGTATAAAACTGTAGCATCTGATATAGTGTATGTATATCTGTAGCTGTAACAAAAAATGCGACGTCATCAGCGTATACCACACCTCTACATCATGTAGTACTAGAATAAGGCACCATAAAATAATAAATAATAATGGTGGCAGTACCGAGCCTTCGAGGAAACCTCTAGTTTGTTTATACTTTGAAGACGACACGCCAGATTGAAAGAAATAGAATTCTCTCTTTTAGAAAAGAGTAAAGCCATTCCACGAAGTAATTTGGTAAACCGTTGTGCGTTAGCAAATTTATTAGTTTACTGTGTTTCACACTATCATAAGCTTTCGCATTATCTAAAGTTACTAAGGCGGCAACCTGTTCCTTAGAACGAGCTAGTTGTATCCTGCTTTCCAAATAACATGGGCAGGTCAAATGGAGCAGCCACGCCTGAATCGAATTCGGTATGGGCATAAAACTGCGTTTTCGTCCAGCCAGTTGTCTATCCAAATGTGCGGAATTCTTTCAATTACTTTTACTAGATTAGATGTCTGTGATATAGGCCTAATGTTATCCAAGGCAAACTAAGCTCCATGTTTCTTTAATAAAGAAATTATTTTCGCGATTCTCCACTCAGGCGGAATCCACGAATGTCTAATGGAATGTTTTACTATTGCAAGTAAATCCTGAGGTGATACTTTATGAATTAATTTTATTACCGATGCAGTTAATCCTTCATGACCTGGAGCAGAATTGGGTAATATTTTTACTGCTTGTGCTGTTTCCGACGCTGCAACCTCTTTAAAGTCATCGCTGTTGTCCCGCCGCGGTGATCCAGTGGCTAAGGTACTCGGCTGCTGACCCACAGGTCGCGGGTTCAAATCCCGGCTGCGGCGGCTGCATTTCCGATGGAGGCGGAAATGTTGTAGGCCTGTGTGCTCAGATTTGGGTGCACGTTAAAGAACCCCAGGTGGTCGAAATTTCCGGAGCCCTCCACTACGGCGTCTCTCATAATCTTATGGTGGTTTTGGGACGTTATACCCCACAAATCAATCAATCAATCAATCAATCAAGTCATCGCTGTTAGCAGGGCACGGCGACTGGTAAAAGTATAAGCAGCCGTGAAGCAGCTTTTCAAGCCTTTGAGCAATATTTTCCAGAAAAGTGGGCAACTCACTTAACGTTGAGGCTATCGGTTCGATGTTGTTGGTGGTGGGATTATTTTCTTTGCTTTAAGGAAGTTGAAAAGTGATTTCCTGTGGCCAGGCTTTGAAAGGAACTCGGAATGTTGGCTATCATAGTTAGCCTTCGCAGCGGCAACTGTTCGCTTAAAAACTGCAGCTGCGTATTTATAATCACTCCGGTTTCTAGGGCACTGATTAGAGAGAAGTTTTCGCCACACCGCTCTTCTTAGCCTGTAATGACATGAACAACCAGAGTTCCACCAATGATTCAAAGGACGTTGTTTAGAGACTTGAACTGTGAATGTAGCTTTATTGAAAGATTGTTTTGTAACATCATTGAAGTTGATAACATTTCGCTCTTAATTTTCCTCGGTTCGTTTTGACAAACCCACAGATAGTGTCTGTTCAAATGTATGAAATTGACATGAGAAGTGGGCTGCCTAATCACTGAAGTCACAGGACACACAAGCTCACACAATATAGGAAATTGATCGCTATTTCTATCCGAGTTCAAAGTAGACCATGTAGACCATGTTGACTAGCGGAACATGGGAGAGGCATTTGTCTTTCAGTGGACGTAGTCAAGCTATTGATGATGATGATGATGATGATGATGATGATGATCAGTACCATGTAGAAAAACTGTGTGTGGTCACTTGAGAAATTACTGTGAAAAGTGTGGTTGCGCCCCAATGTTTCAAAACACCCGTGTTCTCGATAGGGCCCGTGACGGAACGGCGCACGAAATTATTGAAGCTTATGAAATTGACTTAATAAAACGTATGAATTTGGCTTCTTTAGCCTTGGCAACTAAGGAAAGGAGGTAGCTCGAACCATCGCTCTGATGTTGGCGAGAGCAGATTGTAACATCTTCAGTAATGGCATGTGTATGAGCTGTTCTGTATATTTACATGTGGTTTTATAGGTTTTATCGATCTGCTGTTATTGTACAAATAGCAGGTGTGATCGCGAATAAATTTTTCGTTGCAATTTAGCGTTCCGTGTTTGTATCCCCGTCTCTTCTGTGTCCTTGTCGTGATATGCTATAGCGATATGAAAGATGAACACCAACCAACTAGCCTGGTAACGTGTCATAGTAAATTTTAAATTTTTTTACCGGCATCCGGATCCATTCGGTCTTTCGTATGGGTCAGACCAACTCTGTCATGCTCGCGACTTAATATTTTCGTGCCAGCGCTAGACAGTAAAGTATGAATCCGCGCCAAAGCTCAGTTTTCGATTCTAATCAGTACTCATATTTCAACAATAAGAATTGCTGAATGTGGCACTTCCCACTAGCGCAGCCATGAACTCAAAAGGCTTTAGTTACCGTTCCGCTCTGCAGAAATCACCAAAATCGATGAGACGTGACACAAATATCAGCCCAGAGCGAAATCATTTTGCTTAACAAAGCACCCTACCTAACTAATTGTGCACTAACGAAAAGCAGCTCTGGGCTGCGGCGGCTGCATTTTCAATGGAGGCGGAAATGTTGTAGGTCCATGTGCTCAGATTTGGGTGCACGTTAAAGAACCCCAGGTGATCGAAATTTCCGGAGCCCTCCACTACGGCGTCTCTCATAATCATATTGTGGTTTTGGGACGTTAAACCCCACTTATCAATCAATCAATCAATCAATCAATCAATCAAAAAAGCAACTCTGGAGAGGAATTAAACCACAGAATAAAAACAAATGCACACGACTAAAAAGTCAGACTGGACAGCTTATCACCAAAAGCGAGGTTATTGAAACGCAAAATCTTAATGTTGTCTATTGCGTCACATGGTGATTCATGATGAGCAATCGGAAAGAAAACTTGACAAGTGCTTGAGCAAACCGTCAATCGCTCTAATAGGTAAAGAGTGACAGTTCCTGAGAAATTGGGTGCGTGACCAGTGAACCCTTAATATACAATTGGTCATCGTATTTGGCCTTGTCTGGTGAGCTGGAGCCCGCGTTGTGTGAGCAGAGTAATAACATACGATCGAAAGAACGGCACTTAGGTCTGTACTTAGAGCAGGACTGCTGGAAAAAAGGATCCATCTGAACTAGCTGCTTCTGCCTTGCTTCTGGCCTCTCTGCTCTTTGAGTAGTTTGTGGACCACCGCTCTTTAGTATGAATTCTAGGCAATATTAGGTGATCTTAGCGGGCGGGCTGCAGGTAGCCGACATGTAATCGAGTTTTGTGCACAGAGAGCTTTTAGAAGCAAGTTAGCGAACACTGTGGACACTAAGCTTTCGAGCTTTCTCCTGAAAAAAAGCAACTTTTTTTGCTGAGTGAACGGTATCCACCAACAATTAATGATCTAAAACATCACACTTTTTCCTTCGTTATTTGAACTCCGGTGCTATTCAGTGGCAGACTGAGTTCATTTATTTGTTCATTTAGATAACTAATTGTTCAATAAAGTACTGTCAGTGTCATTTCCCCGTTATAGATAGGAGTGGTGTTACATATTCAAAATACTAGTGATATGGTTGCTGGTGATAGAGGGACGAATGATATTTTTATTCAGGCCATGTCTTCGGCACGTAGGAGTTGAATCAACTATGTTGTCTGTCAGAACGGAACATGAACTGCTATGTACGCAGTATGAAATTCTGGGGGATTTTCATGAAAGTCTTTCGTGAGAAAGAGGTGCTGTTTTATAGAGAAGCTTTTAATTGGCGCAGGTGTGGGAGGATGCCCTTCCGTGGATGGTGGTGTACTCGTTCGCGGCGCACGTGCTGCTGCCGTGGCGCGTGGTGTCGGCATTGGCTGCGTCGGGCACTTTGGTGGCCACCCAAGTGGCGCTGTGGAGAGGCCGACCACCGGTGGCCTCGCTGCTGATGCTGGCCAGTGCCAACCTGCTGGGCCTGCTGGCCTTCCTCTGGGTGGAGCGCATGCAGAGGCGGGCCTTTCTCGAGACAAGGCAGTCACTCGAGGCCAAGCTGGTCGTCGAAGAGGAGTCGCAAGTGAGCGCCACTCGGTCCAAATTTCATATTAACGCGATAGCGTTAGGGAGCTCGTATCGCAGAAACTCCGCCGTCGTCGTCGGCCCAGTTGGTTGACAGCGAAAAATCTCGTTACAGAGACCGTCGTGGGAGGCCACTACTTGTCTACGCGTGTGCGCCCGATCACACTGAAAAAGCTGCGCATTCAAAGAAAAAAGAAAGAAAAAAGTGCTCAAGGTCACGAGGCGTGGGTGACGGGGTTTTTTAGCACCTGCCACCCCTCCCTGCTTAGCTTCCAGCGCTTCCGTCGGGACGAGAGAATAGAGAATAAAATTGCAGCATGCGACAAACTCCACTCGCACTGGACGGATTCTTAAAATTTTGGCGGCGTTGAATTCATATATACGTAGAAGGAAAGTCACATTACTGCAGTGCAATGGCATTGATGGAGGGAAAAGAGCGCCGGCCATCGGTCAACTGACAAATGATGACGCGCGTTGGCATTTGTACACGTGCGATCGAATATTCCAGCGGTGTCACTAGCGGTGACGTAAGTTCCAGAAGAATAAGTAATGCTCATGTCGTGGGCGTAATCGCATCGGAAGGTGCTATGATTATCTCGATGGCTCCATAGTCAAGGGGCGTGGTTGAGCAGGGCATCACATACACGTGTATTGCGGCGATAAAGAAGCCTTAGAAAGGATCATGGCAGTATGCATTTTACGCTTCCTATTTTATATATTCACGTTATAATGTAGTAGGAGTTAGCACCTTGAGGTCGGCCGAATGTGAGGCTGGTACGATTATGTTCTTGTTCTCCGATTGCCCGTGGTGCATACCCACTGTGAGGGATCAGCCAAGAATTTAGCGGTTTTATTAAATAATAATCACCTCCATTCGATATACTGTGTTAAGCAACAATACAGGTGATATAATCGAAAGATTAAAGATGACCTAAAAAAATGTGGTGCATGATGTAATGCATATAATTATTTAGGTAAAAAGTATTCTTTAATTAATGCAGTACTCTGACTTTTTATATACGTATATAATGCAGTAGACACATCAGAATAACAATACAAGTGAATTAGTCAACCAATTAGTTTTATTATTATAGTCCCTGACAGCCACGCATCCTCTCACATTGAAGAACCTTGAAATTGAGGCTCCAAAACGACAAAATGACAGGCACAGATAAATTCATACCAATACCACGTAGAGGTATTTCTGAAAGGGCTTTTCGTAGTGTAGTAAATTCGCGGCCGGTCAAAAATAAATAATCTATTGTTTGCAATTCACCACAAAATGCGCACAGTGGTGAAGGTGCCTGAGCAGAGCTGTGTTTTTAGAAAGTTCGATTCAGTAACTGGAAGCGTAGCCTTGTGATGGCTACTTTTATTTTCGAGTTGGGCAAAAGGATCTTTGTCGGGAATGTAGTAAACGGTGATATTCAGTAGATTTTGTCAGTGTTGTGCATCCAAAAACTTCCATAAGCACACGCCTGCGGAATCGAGCGGTAGTCACATAAGCAGATTATAGAAAGTACGGTATAATCGGCCCTCTTATTGACGACTTAGCTATAAGGAATCTGCTCTTCCATTTAGAAAGAAGCCCTTTTGTCCAGGCACCCAAACTAATTGGACTTCTCTCAAATGCACAGGTACTAGTGCTCGGAACGCCTTAATACTTGAGATTCAACACTAACAGAAAGTGCCACACAGAAAGTTTGGAAATCTGTTATTATAACAGCTGATTTATTGCCGTATCCAACTTGCGTGAGGCGAGCACTACTCTCAGACTGATTGATTGATTGATTGATTGATTGATTTGTGGGGTTTAACGTCCCAAAACCACCAAATACGTATGAGAGATGCCGTAGTGGAGGACTCCGGAAATTTTGACCACCTGGGGTTCTTTAACTGGTACCCAAATCAGAGCACACGGGCCTACGACATTTCCGCCTCCCTCGGAAATGCAGTCGCCGCAGCCGGGATTTGAGCCCGCGACCTGCGGGTCAGCAGCCGAGTACCTTAGCCACTAGATTACCGCGGCGGGGCCACTACTCTCAGAAATTCAGCCATAAGGACAGGTATGAAATCGGGTAGTCGAAGGGAATAAGACCAATTTAAATTCGGGCTAAATATAACAACTCCTGACTTTTCGTCACATCCGATCACAGGCTTTGCTTTGTTTGTAGCCCTGAATCTATGTCACATATCCACTCTGGGGAATGGCCAAGAAAACATATAGTATCATACTGACGACAGCTGCAATATTGCTTACAAAAAGGTAACAAAAAGCAAAGATGTTGAAGGAAGCCAGTATGTTAAAAAAAGATTCAGAGTGTGAGGAAAGAAACAACAAGAATATAATCGCTAATATAGTATCTATACCTTGATTTTGGGAGCCGACCAGATAGTTGAGTTTTCCAAACCCGGTTACTTTGGATTGTATGTCTCAGATTTATCCACATTTCGGAAAAAATTTCCCGACTGGCTTTTTTTTAGTATTTGTTAAAGTGGGCCTTATGTTAAATTACGTTTAGAGTCTTGAGTGAAATTACTTACCGCATCGAATGCATCTCTGTGAAAGTTTCCCAAAACGGAGGCACCAAATTGTAGAACAATTTTTGTGGTTAAATTTAAACCTAGCCTCGCACATGGTATTGCTATAAGTCTTTTGCTAATTACTGCGTAGTTAAGACATGAAGCAAAATAGTGCTCAATCGTTTCTGATTCTTCGCGGAACCGACAAAGAAGGAAGAGTGTCAGACCAGCTCTGTGTAAATAAACATTTATTGAGTGAACACGGCACCAGAATCTGGAGATAATAGCTTCAATTTTTTTCGACGGACTCCACTGAGATTTCTATGGAAATTTGAGGTGCTGAAGTACGGTCGGTTTTGTGATATTTTCCAAACTATCTGTATAAATAGCGAATTTCCTATATCTAACCCCTGCCAAGTATTTCAACTCTGGAAGTACCGGAATTAATGGTCCATCAAGTGATGCTCGCGCCAAGGCATCTGCCAGTTCATTTATTGTAATCCGCAGTGACCTGAGACCCACACAAATTTCAGGAGTTTTATATGCGGCGGTGCTAATCTGTGGAACGCTGCTAGGGCACAAGATTGTTCTGAGGTTGTGAAAGCTGCACACACCGAAAGTGAATCTGTTAGGATGATTACACTGGTTCCAGAATGAAATGAAATGAAAAAACTTTAATTCGTAGGAAGTTTAAGTGCTAAAATAATAGCTACTAGCTCAACTTCGAATGAAGGAATGAAATCTGGAAGCCTCACTGAGAAAGACCAGCCGAGGAAATCGGGGGCCATTCCTACGCCTGCCTTTTCATTGTTCGCAGAAGCATCTCTCATCGTCTTCTTTCGCGTGCCAGTCTTCATCGTCTGTTCTTTAGCGGCACATACGATTCTGCCAGCAACGATACCGCATCACACATGCTTGTAGCATAACCATGTCGTGCCATAACTCATAACCATATCGTACTTTCCGCAAGTAAACCTCCCTAAAGTAATACGTTCTTAAATACCTACAAATATACTAAAGAAAAAGTGCCGCCGAGATGTCGGGAGCGCTAACCGTTTCATAGAGCGCGTTAAACAAATAGTGCTCAGCCACTTCCATTTGCAGTCGACTGTGCAAGATTAAGTATTTCATGCGCCCTGCTTCCGTACAACGCGTCGCCGTAATGTTGTGTCGATCCTCTCGAAGTGTGAGGTGCTCCTTGCGCTAATGTTCGCGGAGGATTTACCTTTGGCCGGAGCGCTGGTGCTAGCGAACTCTCTCACCCGGTGTTGCCAGATTGGAAAGATTGGAAAAGCGAGCCACTATGTAGCAGCGGCTGTAAACGAAGCCACGAGTGTGTGAAAACAACTGCGTCATCTTCACTTGAATGACTGAATGCAAGAGATATTGTGTTAGAAATGTTAATAAATAGAACCTGAACCATTAACAATCATAATCGCTCAAATTCAGGCAGGCTATATTTTAGAGTGATTTTTTGCAGGATGATCAACCTTCTTGGGCTGCTGCAGAAAGGGCACTGATTTCACGCGTGAGATTTCACGAAAGTCCTGTGGTGGTGATAGAATCAGTACTGCGCGTGTGCTTGAAATTACAGTTGCTCGTAGTAGGATATAAATTGTACTCATCCTCGTAATCATTTCGCGCCCAATCACCTTGTCGTAGCAGTTAATTATTCTGAGTTGTACTCCTTACCTTATTCCAAGAAAATTGACACAAACAGCTACCTATTGGGTATATGATTTGTACCGTCGATGAGTGTGGAGCTTGTTGTAATCGGAGATGCCCTGCTCGTATTCTTCTTGTGCCTTTGTCATCGTTCTGACCTCGCGTTATAACAAACGTCATGTCATACCAACGAGCCCAAACTGCCATGCCCTGGTCACGCTGAATTGAAGTCTGAAGTCGCGTTCAGCAATAGGTGGTCTGCTAAGTGACTTCTCCCTCGAAGCCCCAGCCACGTCTTTTTATTTTTGTCTAATGCAGCTGACCAATTCTATTTCAGCAGCAAGAAACATATATTGAATAAAGTGGAATGCTGGGCCAGTTGGTACAACATAGTGTGGAAATATATGAGCGCTCAGGGTGAAGAAAAGAAGCACTTGACAGAAAAAACGCTCAATTTACAACTGAACTTTTATTAGAAAACATTCATTGCACGACAATGTTTCGAATGCTTTTTAATAAAAGTTCAGTTGTAAGTTGAGCGTCTTTCCTGTCAAGTGCTATCTTCCTTCTACCTTCTGCGCTCATATATTTCCCCTAAACATACATTGGTCACGGCCTCGAGTAGGGTCAGAAGCTCCACCCAAGATGTCGCACGTCGACGGGCCTCTGGTGTGAATAACTTGTGCCATTCACCTGTATGAAGCGGTCTACTGTCTTTCCCAAAAAAAGAAGAGCAAAATGATTCAATATATTTAAACAAAGGCAGTGACACTTCCTATGGCAAAGCAGCTACCTGGAAAAAAAAATTAC